GTATATTAGCTCTCACAAATTTGAACAATGCATTGTTCTTGTTCACACTACTAGTACCTGAACTGGAATAAAATCATGTAAATTTTTCCATTTGTAGTTTGAAATAACTCAGAATCAAACTGTGACTCTGTTCAAGTTGTAATAATAGCGTTTTTTTTTTAATTTGCAGGTTTATTAAGGTTGTCACAATTTCGTAACCAAGTTCACATGCTTTCTTGGCAGTCGACTCGAATCTCATTGTCATCATCCTCGGCCTGAGGTTTTGCCTTCAGCCTGTGTCACTATCCTCATGTCATAATATGTATTTGAAACAATATTCGAGTACTTGAAACAATTAATCGAGTAATCAGTTTTGAAATCAATTTTGGGTTGAGAATTAATTTCTGTCCTCATTTTTATGCTATCACGTCCACTTGGTGAGAATTCGAAGTGGAGTCATTTTCTTTATTATTATAGCTATAACAAGAAATTTTTCTTATATATTGATGATTTTTATTATAAAATTAAAATCGATTTTCTTGATTAGAATCGATTCCTATCTCTAAATAGAGAAATAATAAAAACCAAATTCAAATATAATATGTAATATAGAAAAGAGTATTTACCACTAACATACACATACACGCATACATACATTTAATTATAAATCTTTTTTAGAGTCATTCCAGCGAGTGAATAATAATCTCGCTCTTTCTCTTTAGGTAAAAAAAAATGAAGCATGTAATTTATTTCACTTGTTCTTATTCACGTTATTGATTTGACAGTTACGATGTTATTATACTCTGAACTTCCATTAATCAATAAAAAACAAAGGTAGTTAGTTAGCGAAAGAAGAGAAATCGTGCGATTACCGTAAAGCGCTCTGTATAGTATCCCCCTTTGTAGAAAATTTAACAAATTTAAACCTCAATTTAACCTCAAGGCTATTAAACCAGCAACTAAATTTAAAAAATCGCATAGTGAAATCAAAATTTAATTATTCGTGGAAAAAATAATTGGATTTACTAAAAAAAAATTGGACTAAATTGTGGTTCAAATTTTTACAAGAGATACTATGCAGAGCGCTTTACGGTTCTATTAGAAAAACAGCAATGTACAAATAACACGGCTTCTCTTTGCTAATGCGTGTAGACACATCTCTTAGTGATATTAGAATAATTATTAGTATTTTATTTAATTTATGTATGTAATATAAAAATAAATAAAAATAAGACGGTTAAAATATGTTAATTATTGTTTATTTGTTTTTTCTTATGATTGACTAGTTGTGAAATAGTAATACTATAGTACAACTTGCATTATTAAATAAATTAATTAATTAATTCTGGTAGTATCAATTAAATTCTTTATTTAAAATTTAAAATGTATGCTTTTTTTTAATTACTATTTGTTAATTTTGATTGTGTTCTTTGCAGAGAGAGTTTCTAAATACACAAGTAGAAAGGAGTAGGTATCATAATAGTATTTTATGTGTGAACCTCTAGAGGATTCCATTTTTCCTAACATTTCCTAATTGTGTGCTGAATTTAATAACATCATTTGTATATTAGGAAACCATAAGGAAAAGTAGAATCCTCGAGAGGTTCACACATAAAATACTATCATGATACCTACCCTTTCTACCTATGTGCATATTATTTTTTTTTCGTAAATACGACTCAACGGATTCGAGCTTAGACTTTCATATAAATATTTTGTGCAAATCGGTAATTATGAAGAAAAACGCAATTTCACTCTTTGAATGCTCCCCCCCCAAGCATAGAGAATTAACACATCACGAATAACAAATCTTGGAGAACCAGTAATATATCAGCTTTCATTATCACTCGACTCTCCCTTGGAAGTCCGGGTCTTTTTGTAAATTCAAGTGCATAAATGGATACATATATGATGATAATCAAAGCCTAGAAGTTTAAGTTTAGGTAAGAATTGCGCATAAACTTATACATATGCGCCACGTAAGGGATTCACACGAAAAAGGGAGAAAAATGTTTCAATAACATTTGTAATATTGTCAAAAAAAGCTATTCCAATTATTGATTCTCGCCGACATATGTACCTGTTAGGCTAAATATTTTGTACTTGTGTAGTAAGGAAATATTCTGTACTTGTGTGGAGAAAAATTTAGTTACTCATGTGAGTATCTCATGCCTCCCAACGAGTATCATCAACCATTGAACTAGCAATTTTGGGAGGAGGTTTCTAAGCAACCAGTGAGAATATTTTCATGGAAACATTAACTAGTTTGCTGGTAGAGGTGATACCAGGGAATTAAATGACGATATATATATATATTGATATATTATAATTAAAAATGTAAAAAATATAGTATAATAATACACTAATAATAATGCAATAATACAATAATACAATAATGTACTACACAGACAGTGTCACAAAAGTTTATTCATTAGATTTTAATTTCAAATATCGATATGTAACCTAAAATCTGACCAGTAAGATTTTCATATACTTGGATATGTGTTATTCGCTCTGTCACTGGAGAACTTTTTCCGAATGAATATAAATAATATTATTGTTTTTTTGTTAAAATAGAAAATCCTTATAGAATATTAAATACTTGATTTTTTGTGATACTCTAATCTTTCGTATAATGAGATCAATCTTATCTCATCAATGATGGAAAATTGATGACAAACACAATAGATAATTGTATAACCAGCAGCGATATAAACATATACAGTACACAACTTTCTTGTATTTTAAATGGATATTTTGTAATTATGTGAAATCGACATCAAAAAAAAATGTGTATTTTCCTTGAATTTCTGACATATTAATGTTACGAATATGGCTTTATTAAAATAACAATCAAATAATATATCATCAACAGATTTACACTAACGAACGGACTTGGACGGTTTTCCCGTGAACAAGCACCAACCCAATTTTATAATAACTCGACATTCAATTTATCGAAAAACAGCAAATGATTCGGTCATTTCAAATGTGTATTTATTTATTTCTTGCGATTATCAGTCGCTGTGGTACGTCATCAATTGCCAGTTCTGAATGAAGATCGTCCAAAATTAGAAATATGCAGTGACGTTAAAATGACATCTATTTGGAACGATAACTAGCTGTATTATTTTTTTAATTTACAAGAGATTTATTAAATATAAAATATTTAGATCGTTAGTTTCCTCTTAAAATTATAGTTTACAGTCACCGATGAATGGGCTAAAATGCTAAATCGAGAATACTAATACACCCAGTGGAAAAAACTCACCGGACACGTTTTTAAAAGTCAAAAATATTTGATATTTTTAATAAATTTTCATGTAAATAACAGGATATTTGGAATATCTAGGTTCTTTTCTTCCAAAAGAGTCCAAACTCCAGAAAATCCATGCGATAGTTCTTGAGATATTATTTTTAAAAAAACGCCTCAAATGATTAGCATTTTTAAAAATTGCGCAATTTTGTTTTTTTTTAAAAAAAAAGATAATACCTCAGCAGCAACCACTGCATGAAATTTTAAAATCTTGAATTCTTTTTATTAAACTAAGAAACACAGAGAGTCTTAAAATATATGTTATTTTAAAATTGGTAAGTTCTCAGCTGAAATTAGCTATCGCTATTTACTTTCGCGCAATTTTTGTGTAACCCAACGAAAAATTGAAAATATTTATTTGCAGCCATTGCATTATGTCATGATTATTTATGAATACTTAAACTACCTGTAAATGAAAATTTTACTATGCCTTTTCTCAGCAATATATTAATATGTAAAGTGTCCGGTGACTTTTTTTCCACCGAGTGTAGGCATCGCTAAATTTCAATATGCCTTTAGGGTTCGATTTAGCGATGTGGTTACCAAATACGTATTCCAATTCAATCTATATAAAATTAGCTTGTTTTACAAGCTTGACTATGTTCTCGCGATTTTAGAATCCAGTGAAGTAAATCGTTAGTATCGTAATATCACAATAAACTTGAATTAACGAGTTTAAATAACATTACCGATGTAGATCATTCTTAATAAAATAATAAAAAGGATTCGTCATTTTTAAGATAGATCCCGTCATATCGATATTGATATTGGATCAATTAACGTTAACCTAAGTATACAACGATAGTGTGTTTCCGAACTAATCTCTAAAAAATTCGCGAATTTGCGATTTCACGTAATTATTAAATAAGCATATCTGCGAAAAAGAGTCGCTAACTCGCGATTTCATTAACGTTAAATTGCATAGTCGTTAAATCGAGCCCTGATTGTATGTGAAGTCACGAATCTTGTTCCCATTGATGGCGATTTTAATTACCCATTCATCGGTAAATCGAGCCCCGTATATAAATTGAAAATTTTGAATATTCAAGGATAACTGGCTATGACAGATACATATATACAGTCAAACGATTAGCAAACAATTACGCAAATATCGTTATATTGAGGATTTATTATAAAAATAGTTATACTGGAGAAAATTATCGTTATAATGGGGAGTATTGGTACATCGAGATTTGACTGTATTAGTCAGGGCTCGATTTACCGACAAGATATCGTCAAATTGAGCGCGATTTCAACAGTGATCTGGGACAAGAGTCGCTAACTCACGATTTTATTAAACCGAATCGAGCCCTGACTGTATCTAGTTAAGTTTTTAAAACTTGATTACAAGAATACGCATCGAAACGAGTTATTGGATAAATTGGTTTATTGCCTATATGCTTGAATCCGTAAAATTTTCTCATTATTACAAAGTTAAACCGAAGCACTAATTAAAACCGAAGCACTAATTAAAACCGAAGCACTAATTAAAACCTGGATAAAGCGAAGTTGGTACCAAGAACAGTTATAGTAAATTCGCCCCAATAAACCGAAATTACTAAATAAACATCATAGTCCTGACCACTTCGGTTTTTCGAAGTTGCCTTTGTATCGTTATTCATAGATTCGTTCATAGTATAATTATGATAGTGACAAGAACATATATCACAAAAACAAACAAAAAATAGAACTAAACTTTCCAAATTTATTGATCTGCTAATTTCCCTTGTAAAAGCGCGGCCTTAAATCTCGATATTTTTCGTGGTAGTGGTTGCTGCAGATTCGTCTCAGAAAGTGCCGACTTTTGGGGAGAAGCCTTATTTTGTATATATGAGCAAACTAAAAAAAAAATAATGATCGAGTAAAATAATAGAAGTAAATTTACCGGTGTTACTTCTGGACGTAATGACGATGACGACAATAATGAATCACTTGGTAAATTAGATTGATCTTCAGTTGTTAATGAATTATGAAACTTTCTTTTGCTATCGTAATAATTTATGGCAACCTTCCATAAATAATTATTAAGAGTACCATCAGTCAATTAATGATAAAGAGTTGAAATTAACATTTTTTCGACAAATGAAAAAAAACCTCTTTTATTAACAATTCATCTTCGGCATACTCCAATGAATCATTTATTTCCTCTTGAGTCGGTTCTTTTTCAACAACAACACTCCTTACTGGATTGTTATTATTTTCTCTGACTCGAGATCTTCTGTTATCAATTACATCGCGAGCGCGAACGCCGGGAAAAGGAGTTTTCGTTGGTGTTGTTGCTGATGGCGGAATTTGCTTTTTTTTCTGTGATAATGATTCTCTAAAGACTGATTGTTGTTGAGGTGTTTGATTATCTGATAAAAATGTGGAACGCACAGGATGAATTTGTGGTGGTTGTGTTGGGTTTGTTGATGACTCTTTAATACCGCTAGATATAGGAGCTACATTAGATAAAGTTGTCTGATCTGCAAATCGAACTTTTTTTGTTTCTTGCGCTTGTTGCTTTGCTGACTCTTGTTCTACTATCTCATTTTCATCTTCCACATTTTCAAACAACGCATCCAATTCTTTATCTAATTCCTCTTCCTCTTCTTCATCATCTTCGTCATCATCTCCTTGAACTTCTTCATCGAATTCGTCATCCGAGTCCACACCTTGATTAATAACACGAGCTTTTTCACGAGACTTTATCTTATCTCCTTCTTTTCCTTCTTGCTCTCTCTCTTCTTTTTCAAGAGCATCCCAATCGATAATCTCTTCAAGTTTATTATCTTTGAAAGTATCGTGAGTAAATTAATCTTATCAAAAAATAAAAAAGATGGAGTGAATCAAATAAAAAAATATACATACATCGACTCACATCAATCGATTTCTTTACAGGCGTTTGCTGTTGTTTTGTAATTGATTCTTTATCTTCTTCCTCTTCTTCATGTTCCACAATATCTACAAATGGTAACCCTTCTTCATTAAGCTATGCCCGAAATAAACCAAAAGTATTAACAAATAAATACTCTTATCAATAATTGAAAAGTGTCAGTATTACTACTCACAACATTAGTCTTAGTTTCCAAGACACTACTCGCCATATTTAGTCGATTAATAAGATCGTTCAATTGTGTCTCGAGATTTTGAATATTTTGATTCACATCTAATTGAAAAAAGACGGGTCTTAATAAATTTAATAATCAATATCGGATAGATCAAGAATGAAAAAATCTAAAAAACCACCCGATTGATTAAATTTTCGTAATTTCACTCACTCACATTCACACCTCCTATCCACAATTTCAACTGCATGTTTGGTAGAACATTCGGTGAACCAGTTATCACCAAGTAACGCCATTACCTCGTTGGTGTGAATTAGTTTCCCGGGCATAAACGCCAGTTTTCCAATTGGCACCTATTATATGAATTCATGATATGTATATGTATATATACACACAACATACTTCTGATAAGTATGATAGGAAAACAAACCATAATACTGTACTCCCGTTTCTCTGCTAACCCAACCAGCGTGTTTTTCAATTGCAAATGATCCGTTTCGAATTTTTTCCATTTGTCAAGTTCTTCATTTGTTGTCTGGATTGCTTTTTCGATTTTACTTTGATAAAATTGAATATTTGGATCTGAGGAAGAAGTTGCCATTGGTTGTTTTTTTTGGATATGTATATTCTGCTATATTGATATCAATATTTGAATTTAAAAAATGATCGCAAAATGCACACTATCGCTATCACACATTTGGTAACCAGAATTATGATTGATAGATCTTTTTATGAAATGAATGCAATCTTTTATTTAATCGAGGGAATATTATTTATTTTATATTAGAAGACAGAGATAGACAAAAAATCCAGGCCATGAAAAATATTCACTAAACCGCACTCAAATTAACATTAACTTACCCTTCTTAATTTATTATATATATATAGATAACCTGCGAAGGGGATCTCAAGGAAATAAGGTTTGACTTGGGGATCATATATAATGGTTATTATTTGCTGTATTTTTTTTTGATTCAGAAACCAAAAACAACAATAATAAACATAATAATAAAACTTAACATTTCTGTGAACTTACGATCCCGGGATCTTTTCTATCGTAAAAAAGATTAAGCCGAAAGGATAGAAATAAAGAAGCTTCCTCCTCCGTATTAAATGGAATTCCGTTAATCGGTGTTTGTTGATGTATCAACAAAAGAAATTGTGGGTCAAACATGTGTTGCCATACTTAATAAAGTGATAACATAGCGTAATATAAAACAATTTTTTTCAAAGAAAAAACCACCTTTATTACAAACTGCAAAGAAGAGGAGGGATAGTAGTGATGTTTCCTCGATAAAGCAAGCGGCAGTAGCAGTATGATGATATTATAAAAACCGTCTGTCTAATATAATAATAGCAGATAACTAGCAAACATACAATCAAAAAAAAGAGAGAAAAGAAAAAATAGTACAAAGTGACACAAATAAAATAAAATAAAAAACGTAATAATGATGATCATAGTAACAAGCGAGAAAATTTCTACAATCCATGTATTAAACAACTGTATACTTGCCGTATCCGCCTAATGAATTGCTTCCTGGATTTCGTGATTCGGCTTCGATAGCACTGAGAGTAGTCTCTGTGAGAATACGCTTGATCTCGTTCTTTGCTTTCTCGACAACGTATTCATTTTCACCCTCGACAAACAAATAAAGTTTTCGTTCGCTGGACCCGGGGGCTGGATTGCGTCCAGGTGGGAAGTATGTCCCGCGAGTGGTGATTGCTGCGCCTGTAAGTTCTGTGATTTGTGATATTTGTTCCTATGAGACAAATTTTTAGTTATTATTTTTGATAAATCGTTTTAATAATCTGAGAATTCGCGTAAAAAAGTAATTAATTACCTTGTTTGTTACTTTCCATCGTGCTTTCTGGGGATAATCATTGATTTCTATCTCGACTGAATACTCAGCAGTATTTTCAGTTTTATTTTCTTCTGTGACAACACCACCTTGCACTGAATTCTCTTTGAACCGCGAATTTATATCTGCAATGATATCCTTAGCACGTTGTACACCACTTGTGCCTACGGATGCGTTAATCCTAGCAGCGGCTTGTTGTGCAGCTTTCAGAGCTTTATTAATAAATAAGAAAAAAATGGACAAAGATCATTAGATTATTAATTAAAACACGATTCTAAAAAAAAATTGATTTGATACAAACCTGCTACGGCGGCTGGATTCATTTCGGCAGATTGTCCCGAGACCGATGGTGCAACAGAAGCAATTGATGAAGCAGCAGCGGCGGAATTAGAAGCAGCGAGAGTTGATAGTTTGCTGTTAACAGCTGCGACTGCTACTGATGAAACTTCTTCTTTTTTGAGTTGTGTTGAAGTTTCTTCGTCCTCATCCACCTCGTCTTCTGATGTTTCGTCATCAGCGTCACCGTATGTCTGAATAAAAAATTAGAGATATATATTTTTGTATCTTCATTAAATTTGGATTAATGAAGAATAATAATTTACCTTGCGCTGAGCTTTTTTAACAAGATCTCTCGCTTCATCCAATCTTTCAAGACCTTTTCCGCCAAATCCTGAACCAGAATAAGTAGCACTACCTGCTTTGACTTTTTCTTGAAATCCTAAATTTAATAAAAAGTAAAAATATTTATTAAACTCTATAAATAATATAATCATGGAATGTCTAACAAACAAATAATTTGTACCTTCTGCGAGCTGTTGTAATTCAGGAGTCACGTTTCCTCCACTCAACTTCAAAGCTTTCATAATATCCATAGCGTATCGATCTTGTTCAGGTGTAATGAAAGTATACGCTGTTCCTTTATTACCTGCTCGCCCTGTTCTACCCACTCGATGCACGTAATCTTCCATATGGTTAGGGCATTCGTAATTAATAACAAGTTTTAGCTGTTTCACATCAAGGCCGCGAGCAGCAACAGATGTTGCTATTAAAAGTTGGCATACTCCAGACTTAAAATCCGCAATAGTACTATCGCGATCCAATTGATCCTATAAATAAACAAATTAACACAATATTTTCGATATATTGACAACATTTAGCGAATCAAATAATAAATCATACTTTTCCGCCGTGGAGGGACATACACGGATACCCTTTTCGAATCAAGTCCCTCAACAAATTATCAGCAGCTTCTTGACGATCAACAAATATTAAACAACGAGCATCCGGATCGTCGTTGTATTGTTGTCCCATGATTTCAAGCAACCGAACAAATTTTGTATTTTCTTCACGAACTTCTACTAGTTGCGTTACATCTTGAGCAACAACACTACGACCTCCGACCGTTATTTCAAGAGGCTTTCTTAAGACTTTTCTAGCCAGAGATTCCATCTTTAGAAGACAGCTTGTTAGCAATTGTGAAAAATAAGTCAAATACAAATAAAAATAAATATCTTACTTGACGTGGGAATGTAGCTGAAAATAGAACTGTTTGTCGATCAGGCCTTACATTATTTACAATTTTCATTACCTGAGGTTCAAATCCCATATCAAACATACGATCCGCTTCATCCAAAACCATGTAAGTAACTCGCTTAAGATTTGTAACACGTCCAGCATTAGCACACAAAAGGTCAATCATACGACCAGGAGTACACACAATAATTTCAGCTCCACGTTTTAGATCAGCAATTTGATCTTTTATGGGAGATCCGCCATAAGCACAAACAGCCTAAGATATAAAACATAAAACAAATTTATACTGTTGAATAATTTATTCCACAAGAATCGAAGCTGTGTTATAATAACATTAATACGCCAAACTTACCCGAAGTCCCAAAGCTTTTAAAAAGTGTTTACATTCTTTATGAATTTGCACCGCCAATTCTCGAGTCGGCGTCATAATAATGGAAATGGGACCTTCCATCGGTTCGAGCGGACGTTGATCTTTGATGTGGCGAAACATTGGTAGTAGAAACGCAATGGTTTTACCACTTCCCGTTTTGGCCACGCCTATGACATCACGACCTGCCATTATTGCAGGAATTGCTTGTGATTGAATGGGTGTGGGCTTTTCAAAATTTAATTTTTTAATCACTTGTAGGCTACATTTATCAGAGAAAAATTAAGAAATTCATAAGTTAAAATATCGAATTATTAATCAAATCTTTATAGTTATAGTCACCAGGAAGCAGGTAATCCGGCATGAGTCCATTTTTTTATAGGTTTCGGACAATCAATACCCTATGTCAATTAAAACAAATGAAGAATAGCAAATGAAAAAAAAAACAAAATTTAAATTACATATTAAAATAAATATACATACTCGAATCTTTATCCCGTCCAGTTCTACTCGAAGTAGGTCCACTTGGTCCGGAGTCAAATCACGCATTTCCGGTGGCTCAATATAGAAATTTTTCTGAAATGGCTCATATTTTACTTGCGAGTGATCGACTGCAGCCAAATCTTTCTTCTTTAATTTTTTAGCTGCAATACTAAAATTAATTCAAGTCATAATGAGTTTTTATTAATGGGCAAAAATAAATATATGATAACCGAGGTATATATATAAAAAAATATGCTAATAAACACTTACGCTAAAATATCTTCAGGATCACTATAAACCTCTTCATCTTCGTCATCTTCATCATCATCTTGTGGGGCTTCAATTTTCTCAATCTTTTTCTTACCCTTATCAATTTGTTTGGCTATCTTCTTATCTTGTTCGTTCAATATACCGACTTTAATCTCGACATCTTTCATATAGGCGTCTAATGGATCTTCGTCTTCATTTGCGATTTCGTCAATTTGCATGATATTAGTAGAAGACGACACCGCAGCCTCTTTGGCACTGTTTAATTTTGAAGGCGACGACGAAATCAATCCCTTATCTTCATCTTCAGTAGAGGGGGTTGCCTTTAATTTCGCTTTAATGTTTACCGTAGATTTCTTACTTCCTAGCCCGAGTAACGGGTTTCTTCGAAATTGCAATGGGGATGGTGGTTCTGCAGACTTATCAGCAACCTTTGGAATGGGCAATGGTAAGTCCACCACGGTCTCTGTTGATGCCGTCAGGAAAATGCATTGTACTTAATAATAATAGTGAATGATGAAATTTGACGTCAAAAAACTAACCTGTTACGCCATCAATTTCCATAACATCATCTTCGTCGTCATCGTCTAGACTCCATCCTTTACCATTATTATTGACATCTTGAAGATCTGAAGATTCGGCAGCAATTTTAGCTTTTGCAGCTTCTTCAGCTTTTTTAGCCACTTCTCTCTCTCTTCTCCATTGTTCTACTCTTTCTCTCCTTTGACGGATTTTTTCCTCTTCTTCCTGATCAATAACAGAAACTATTGTTTTGGGTGAAGTCACATCTAATACCTGTATAAAATTAATTAGTAATACGATAAAAAATGTTCATCATATTTTGTTTTGATGAACAAAATTAAAAACCTACCTTTGGTTCAGGACTTTGTGACTTTAACTTTTTACGCTCAACATGACCATTTAAGGAAACAGTAGTAGGAGACAACATAGTATCACGAACTCCAATAGCACTAATATTTTCAGTCTTACTATCAGTCCCATTGAAGGTAATAATATGCGACGACGATTTATTACTGCCCCTTATTTCATGAGTTTCTTGAATATTACTAATGGTCGTAATAGTAGCAGTTGAAGAACGTCCATTATGATGGTGGTGGTGGTGAGAATGTCTATCGCTTGTCGACTCACTAGCATCCTCTCTTTCGAAATCTACTCTCGAGTGCTTTGCTCGTTTGTGTTCCCTTTCCTCCCTATGACGATCTTTATCCCGTCCCCTTCTCTCGTCTCTACTTTCGCGAGCTCGTTCGCTGACGCTCTCTTTTGTGCTGCTACTACGTTCTCTACTGCGAGCCCGTTCACTTCTATGTGAGTGCTTACGTTTTTTGTATGAAGATCGAGAACGGCTTCTTGATCTTGAATGTCGTGCCATATTATTGTTCTCTGGTTTATGATATACCAAAATAAGGAAAATCAAATTTCTGTCTTTGCCGCAGCAGACTAATTCATGTGCATCAGGTGTGTGTTACATCTTCCTTCAAATAAATAAATATTTTTGCAGCTTCAGTAATTCTTCAATTTATTTCTAACTATGGCTGTAGAGACTAAAAAACATTCACAACAAGCAAATAATGTTTCTTCTAGTTCCCTTGAAAAATCCAATGTGGACAAAAATCCCGTTAAAGAGAATCTCTTTCAGAACGGAAAGGCAGAGCACAAGCAAGAACAGCAACAAATGAAAAATAAACGTAAAAAGAAAAAGAAAAAGCAACAGCAGGAGGGAATTAATGTAAATAGTAAGCCTGTGCTGAGGGATCAATCGGTGAGAATCTAATTTAATAAATTACTTTTGTGATAAAGGAAGGACTTGAGTTTTAAAATTATACTGTTTTTTTTTTGCATCGGATAATATGCTAACTTTTTTCTATCGGTCGCGTGTCTTAAAATTCTTGGATGGATATTTGATGGATTTTCTTGGGGCTTTGCGATTAATTTTCAAAAGCTATCAGAAACAGCTGTCGATAAAGATAAAGATGATGTTGAAATAGAGTATGTATTACCACCTTTAGATATACCAAACGAACCACACTTTGAAGAATTCTCAAAGGTTTTTGCCCATTTTCAGGTTCAAAAAGAAGAAACTGAGGTACGCACATTCTCTGTTACTGCCAACACTACTAGTAATAACAGTGGTAGTAAAAGAGATCATCAATAAACTAGTACCATCAACATCGAGTTTTTTATAATTATTAATAATTATTTAATTATACGATAATAGTCTCAAGCAGCCGCCCTACAAACGGAAGAGGAATCGCTGGAAGTAACAAAACCTCAAGAAAATAACACTACCAACAAGATTAATAGTGTTACTAAAGCATTACTAGACTCTGATAACGAGGACGAGGAATCCGAGGAAGAAGAAAGCAATAAAGATAAAGTATCGAAAAAGAAGTTGCGGAAACTGAATAGACTTAGTGTTGCGCAGTTAAAACAGTTGGTAAAGCGACCTGAAGTTGTTGAGGTGAGTTTTTTTAAGTACGATCATTTTCTATACTGAATTAATGAACATCCTTCTGATGATGATGATTAACGATAAATTGAATTAATAATCGAAAGTGGGTTGATGTAACAGCAGCTGATCCTAAATTACTCGTAAGTCTTAAAGCATATCGAAATACAGTGCCGGTGCCACAGCATTGGTCACAAAAAAGAAAATACCTTCAAGGAAAACGAGGAATTGAGAAGCCTGCTTTTGAATTACCCGGTACGTTTAATCCTGCCATAGCTGGTGTTTCTTGATTATATTTCACTAATGATTTTCATTCATAAATTTATTAAAAATATAGATTTTATAAAGGATACTGGTATCATGGAAATGCGCGAAGCAGTCAAAGAAAAAGAAGACGCAGCTAAACTAAAACAAAAAACACGTGAGCGAGTGCAACCAAAAATGGGCAAATTAGATATTGATTATCACAAGTTGCATGACGCGTTTTTCCGATTTCAGGCAAAACCTAAACTCACAATTCATGGAGAGCTGTAAGCACACTTTTCTCACATAATGTTTTATATATGCATCAAAATAAATTATATTCTCGCTTATTCTGGGAATCAAAATCCATTTTTTCAAGATATTACGAGGGAAAAGAATTTGAAACAAAACTTAAAGAAAAGAAACCCGGCCAATTGTCGGAAGAACTAAAAGCCGCGTTAAATATGCCTCCACTTGCTCCTCCTCCATGGTTAATTGCAATGCAACGATATGGTCCTCCACCCAGCTACCCGAACTTAAAAATTCCCGGGTTGAACTCTCCGATACCGGAAGGGTAAGTAATTAAACTTAAATATATCGTCTGTAACTTTACTCTTCTTTTCATTCAATATAATAAGAAACTTTAATTATTATTATTATTATTATTATTATTATTAGAGCTCAATGGGGATTCCATCCTGGTGGTTGGGGCAAACCACCGGTTGATGAAGTAAGAAAGTTTTCTATTAAAATGTTATATTTATAATATATATATATATAGACTCTAACTTATTATCCTTTGATTTATGCAGTATAATCGACCATTATATGGTGATGTCTTTGGAACATATCAACAAGAAATACCATTAGAGGTGAGAACAACAACATCATAAGTTTAAAAATCCTTTATATTTTTAATTGCTTATTAATTAATAAACTTTGCACACACATGTACACATTATTGTTAATAATCAAAGATGGTTCAACCAATTGAACGAAAATTATGGGGTGAATTAGAAGTTGAAGAAGAAGGTAAACTTTTTTTATATCTAATCCCTTACATCTAATCCCTTTACAATATCTAATCGGCAACCATGAAAACATTAGAATCAGAGGAGGAATCAGAGGAGGAGGAAGAAGAACACGAAGAAGAAGATCCTGCTACAGCTAAAGCATTACAAGAGGGTCTAGTGACACCTAGTGGTATGGCCAGTGTAGCCAACGGTCTTGAAACCCCTGCATATATAGAATTGAGGAAATTCCAAAATGCACCTTCAGTCGCTGCACCAACGGCTGCTGCTTCATTAGAAAGTGGCCTACAAACTCCGAGTGTTATCGAGTTGCGAAAATATCAAAGGTAATGAGAATTTGTGTAACATTTGACTTGATCATTATTGACTGATTCCTATTACATAATTTTAGAGCCGAAGAAGAGGAACCCAAACCTTTGTTCACAGTCCTTCCTCAAAAAGAAGCATCGATATCGGGATTCATGGGATCACAACATGTCTACGACTTGTCTGCTGCTGGCGTGACAACATCCAAGGGTAAAAAAGTATGTATTATTATTTTTCTAATACAAAATTTTGATAATATTTATTTGATATTTAATTTATGATCTTTCAAACAATAATAGCGAAAACTCGTAGGGACTGGTGTTGATGTTGCACTAGATCCCTCGGAAATGGCTAATCTAGACGAAGAAACCTTACGCGCTAAATTCGAAGAAGCTCAACAGGTTAATAGTTTATTCCAATTTAATTATTTAATATTTAATTTTACGCATGCTAATCAACTTTGATTAATTAAAATTAGGAGCATCAACCCGAAGGTGCACACGAAGATTTCTCTGATATGTTGGCCGAACATGCAAATAAACAAGCAAAGAAACGGCAAAAACTCGCGGATGCGAAAGCAGCTGCACGGGATGCAGGAGCTGGTGGTAGTGGATCTAGTCAAAAGAAACACAAAGAGTTTAAATTCTAACTAGATCAGTGAATCAATGGACTATGCATTTTATCATTATTTGGTAATAGAGAGAGATAAATCATCGACGGCGGTGAGTACGTAAAAAAAGTTCCAATAACAATAATCATCTCAATCATAAACAACATCATAATTGGAAACAAATCAAGAATTTGTATATTTGATTAAACCAAAAATCACTATTATATTATCGTCATTATAATTATTATAGGAACCCTCTATTAGTAGCCCCAAGGTTTGTCTGTATAGTTGTGTATCGGTTTTATTGATTAATTGATGAGTTCAATTTATTAATTTTTGATAGTATTTTAGTTTTGATTTAATATTCAAAATAGTTTTTATACTAAAATTGATACACCTTCATTTGACTGTTGTTGATTGAAAATAGCGTCCAATTCTCTCTTCCTTCGAAAGGCTTCTTACTATTATCATTACTACTACTACTACTATATGATTCATCCTATATGATGAGAGGGAACGGAAATATTTTTAAAACAAATTTACTTTGTCGAGTTTTTTAACTTTATAATATCCTGGACCGATAATAATAAATATTTTTGATTAATGATTTAGGTTGTCCTCTCTATATCGGTATTTTTGGTTTCTGTTAATTACATACAAAAAATATTGGTCAGAAAATATCCGATCGTAATTGGGACATTTAACGTAAAGACCAATCTTGTACTATTAAGGAGCACGATTTGAAATAATGAATTCGGGTAGAATTACTTATCAATAAACCGTCATTGTGATGCTCAAAATATATAACGATAAACATCAATCCTTTTTTGTTATTTTTGAAAAGTATAATTTTAATGAAATTTCGAGTTGTTCCCAGATCACTATATTGAAATCGCACTTAATTTAACGATGTCTATTAGTATTCTCTTGATTTAGCATTTAACGATAGCTTGAAAGATTCATCGGTAAATCGAGGTCTGACTGTAGATAGTATTAAATCGAATTAGCTTAAATAAATAATACCCATCCTATCAGAGAAAAAAGTAGTTATTTTCTATGCAATCTATTTATCTTCTGAGGTGGTATCGTATGTAATGCGGCGAGCTTTTCAGTTATCATGCTTCCCGAAAAGCATTGTGTTCACTAACTTATAATATATAAATATATTTTAGTTCTTGAACAAACAGTTTTTCTCTGTAGAACAAATAGAACGACAAGATTATTTGGTCCATTGATATACGACGACGACGACGGGTTAGAAGAAAATTATCTAGTCGATCAGTTCAAGTTGACGCGTGAATGTATCATGATTTTGAGATAATAATGTTACGTAAGTTACAATTTCGTGTTAGTTATTCAGGGAATAACGATCAGAAGTAAAAAAAATTATGAGATAGAATTAGCAGGTCTTTTAGAGAGCGTAACAAAAGGACGAGGATGGAATTGCGCTGAAGCCTGGCAAGTATTTAGTATATCTAGCTTATGAAAAGAAAATGAATCAAAAAATTAATTTATTGGATTGTTATTCCTCGGTAAATTATTTGAATATACTAATTGCGTCGAACGTACAAAAGACTACTGATTGTTCGCGTTAAATCTTGAAGACTCGAAGCCTGTGCGTCCGTTCAGTGTGTTACTGCAACGTACTTAACATAGAGATTTCCAAAAAGTATCTAACCTAATGAATTTTTTTGGTGCGCGATCATAATAGTTTTTGGTATGAAATATATAGAAAATTATAACGAAACTTGATCATGATGAAAATTTTGGCCAAAATTGTGCAGATCATGAGATTATTTGGCCAGAATTATCGATAATTCCTGAAAATAATGATAAATGCATAAAATATATAACTTAAATTAATTTTGCAATAATATTTATATTGCTATATATTATGTAAATTTATGAGTATAATTGTTATTCATAGTTTGTTATAATAGATATTGCAAATTTTCACCATATTCCATTTTTTATCATGATCCCCCACAATACATATTAATCTTGATTTTCAACAAATGGATCAACAAAATAATTAACGTTAATAATCGAAACGACAATGAATGACTCGCTATTTATTCTTCTGATTTTCAACAAATCGAACGTAATGGATCAACAAAAAATTAATAATCGAAGACGCCATTTATTCTTTAACTTTGCTAATAGAAATAGATACCAAATTACTCGCAAACATTTCCACGATCCACGACAACCAAAGCACCCATTTCCAATTTACAAGAAATGTCGATAGCAGCAACATCAGCAATAAAGTCTATGGCGTCAAGTATAAAGTTAGCTGCTACTACAGCTACCCCGCCAAAACGAATGCGCTCTATGAAAGCAGCATTGACATTGGTTTGTGTGCTCTTTCAATTACTTTCTTTCATCTTTACTTTTTTACTAATTGTTTCGGTTGATTTTCAATTTTGAAAACACGAATTCAACTTTGGTATCGAATAAATCACAATCTCATCAAAAAAGACACCAGCAGCGGTAAACAGACTACGACAATTAGTCCGTGATCCAGATCCAAAGCTGATACGTGTTGCAGTAAAGAACAAGGGTTGTGCAGGACTATCTTATGTGCTGGAGTATACGAAAAATAAAGGAAAATTTGATGAAGAGGTGACACAAGATGGTAAAGTTATTTTTCGAAATACAAGACGGACGATATTTTTTAATTGTCTCTTTGATCCGTAAACTAATCATTGCTGATTAAATTCTCATCCAAAAAAATTGAAATTTAAGGTGTCACCGTCCTTATAGACTCCAAATCTCTTTTCAAAATGCTCGGTTCAGAAATGGACTATGTAGAGGACAAACTCTCGTCGAAATTTGTATTTAATAATCCGAATGTTAAGGAAAGTTGTGGGTGTGGTGAGAGTTTCACTGTATAATAAAATTATATAATCTTTGATTCGACCCTTTTGAAGAAACATATATACATATATATACTTATTTATTTAATAATATTCCTTCGGGTAAGCACCATTCCATTAACATTGCAATCATCATCTTTATAACCATAACAATTATATTATATCTGATTTCACTTCACTATTATTTCTTTGATCGATCATACAATGAAGAACCCATATAAAAATTTTAATGTATCGTTTCTAATTCCATTTCCTAACTCAAATTTTATCTCAATTGTTATTTATTGTAATATAGACATTTGTAATCAAATTACATATAATAAAACCTAGATCTATACATTTATATAACAGTGTAAATTAAATACCATGTTATTACATATAAAGAGAATTATAGAATCTAAATAAATTATATAAATATGTAATAACGATTGTATATTATCTCCATGAGATGGAGAACCCACCATTCAACAACGGAATCCCCAATTCCCGAACAAACAATCTCCCATTTTCTCTATTCCACTCTATTTTATTCCGTTCAATAACCTTTGTACTCGTATTCGTGAACACGATTTCATCAATCTCATGGGTAACCCCATATACCAAAATTTCATCTAAAAATGAACCGGGCCCGTCGTATTGAAAGATACCCTCGACCATCAATATACTATCACGGACCGTTAGGGTGAGAAGTGAATGATTTTTGGCGAGATTTTCTGGCGGTGTTTCGCCATCATCTAGGTATAATTCACCAGACGCGAGTCCTAATCGATCTAACGCAATTAACAATTGAATACCTGTCGTGCGGCTTACAAATGTAGTTAGTTCTGCACGAACGTGCATTGGAATTATAGAGCCGCCGTGAACATGCACAGGTATTACTTCTAATGGTGCTTCTAATTCCTTCCATATACCTTGTACAATATCTAACTGTTTGAGGCCTGTGAAAAAGTCGTACCATATTCCCGGAGGGAAATAACCGGTAACCTTTAGCGCTCCTTCTTGAGTAACAGGTGTTATTAATAAACCCTTTCCAACTAAAAACTGTTGATCGATAGCCCATGTATCTTTTCCCTCCGGCTCCAAAAACCAAAGAGGATTAATAACAGGACTGCCGTTAGTATAAGCTCGATAGAAGCCCGTGTACCAATATGGCAACAATCGATATCGAATCTCCAACGCGACTTTTGCTATCTGCTTTGCTTTCTCAAATTGATAAAATTCTTGGCCTGGTAAATTGATCGCATTATGATTACGACAAAACGGATAAAAACTACCGAGTTGTGCCCAGCGAATGGCTAATTCTTCAGTGCAAACGCCATTGAATCCACAAATATCAGCTCCTACCAACGGAATGGCAAAAAGCTGAAAAGAGAGCATCCCAGGAATTGAGAGCTCTAGACTTCGCCACGACGATTCATTATCTCCTAACCAATGGGCGACAAATTTCCCGCTACCCGAAAATGTCGATCGAGAGAGTACAAATGGTCGTTTGTCAGGACGAATAGCTCGCAAAGCATTGTGTGTCGCAATTCCTTCCATGTGACCGAACAAGTTATGAACGTCGTATTCAAGTTCACCAGTCTTATGAAAACCATCCATTGGAGAAGTGCGTGTGAACAGAGGCAATTCGTTGCCCATATTATTAATAGCATATGGCGGATTATTTATAGAAAGCGGAATGATTTTTTTTGTGTCGGTTGTTGCTGTTGTTGTTTTGATCGATTCTGCTCTTGTTTCTTCGGACACATGTGATGTTGAAGTGAAGCACAAACATCGATTAATAATAGCATCAGTCACTTGCTTGACACGTTGAACTAGATTAACATTTTTACTATCGATTCCCTTTTTAAAAGGAAAATGATTTGATTCATGTGTAATATCGCCATTTACGAAATTAGCCGGTTCGTTCATATCTATCAGAAAGAAAAATTATATATTAATTGAGAAAATTTAAATTTCTTATACATAATAAACACTAAATAAGCGAAAGTACACACCAATCCAGATCCCATCAATCGGAACTTGTTTCAGCCACCTGGTCATCATGTCAGTCCAGAATTGTTGTGTATCAGGATGAAACCAATCCGGAAAAACAGTTTCCCCAGGCCAAACACGCCCAACAAAATTCTCCCCATCCGCTCTTTTCATAAACACATCTTTTTTCAGACCCTCATCATAGACGTCATATCCATCCTTTACTTTGATACCCGGATCTACTATAACCACCAATTTTCGATGGTTTTTGTGCAATTTCTCTACGTATGATACGAATTTTTCGGGTGGGAAATGGTGCGGATGGAAGGTGAAAATTTTGAATGCGTCCATGTAGTCGAGATCTATCCAAGCGGCATCCATCGGGATTTTGGCTTTTTCATATTGACTAACCATCTCTTCAAATTTTTCAATAGTATTATATCCCCATCGGCATTGATGAAAACCAAGTGACCTATACATTATATAGCAAAAAGATCAATTGAAAATCATATAGGAAAAGAATCAAAATCAGAGGACCTCTTTTTAATATATGTGGTAAATCAAAAGTTTACCAGTAAGGAATAAAACATGGTCGTCCAATCAACCCTGCATATTGCTCAACAACATTTTGAGGAGTGGGACCAAGAAATACGTAAAAGTCTAATATACCGCCGATAACTTTGTACGTAATTTTACCATTTTCATATATTACATCCATACCATTCGAATTCAATAATAACTGTTTTTTATGATTATTAATAGTTTTTGTCATTATAAAGAAAGTTTAGTATGTTTTGTGATATGTAACAAGAAAAAGGTTAATATAATATAATTTAGATTTAGAATCAATAACTTACAACACCATGTGCCTTCCCATCTCGTAATTCGACGTAAAACGGATGTGTACCATATAAATTTTCATTTTCTGGACAAGGGGCATCTACAAAATAACGAATGAATATGAATTTAGACAAAATAACAATTATAAAGATTATATATGCTAAAATGAATTATTACTACCTCTTGAGAATAAAGTAAATCTTCCGGTTTCTCGTCTAAACGATGCAGCTACCTCACCCAATCCATATATATTAGAATCTAAAGGTAATGAAGTCGATAACTCGAGATACTGATCTTTGAAAATCAGATGCTTGCCAATCGTATCGAAAATAGGTCCACTTTCGTTTTTTCGTGAAACAGAAAACCCAAAAGGACTATCCTTATAATTAAAGCTGTAGTCACACTTTTCAATTTCTGTTAAACTTTTATCCACTGCCACGACCGACTCGGGAACTCGCCAACGAATCCCCTCGGTATCGGATATGCATACGTGAAGCCGATGAGGCGTTTGATACTCTACGGTAAACGAAAGATTTTCGAGATCAGGTCCATAGTCTGGTAATGTATCTTTGTGATGTTGTGAGAGAACAAGGTTCCCATGAATGGAATTCGAAGTTTTTCGAGTATTTTTTAATTCATAAGAGAACTGATTTCCATTAACCTTAGTTGTCATTTTTTCGAAAATGGTCAAGTAAATTTGCAGAAAATAACCAAACTAGAATATGTTTTTCCGCTCACTATTGCTCGGGTACATAGTTCTAGAATTCACTCATTTACGTACATAAAGTAATATCGAGAACAAAGATTCTCGAACTCTATTTTTTAATGCATAAAAAATCTACACTTATCGGATCAACAAGGTGTTTGTTGCGCCAATCACCCCATCTTTGTTGAGTTATGGCAAATTTCTTGACACCTCGCTTTTCTTCCACTCTCGCTGCAACTCGTGCATCCTCTTTTAGACGAGGTTTAGCGACAGTCGCAAATTCTGAAGGGACTGTTCCTTTTGTTGCTCAACGTCAAGCAATAAAAGAGCATGCTGCTGGTACGTCTCTGGGGTGAAGGCTTTAGTTCAATCTTTAGAACTCACCGAATTTACCTGTCAAGCCGAATAATTCCTCGATAAAAAAATAAATAATAATAAATTACATTAATTAAAAAAAAGCTACCACTAGACTCTGGAAAAATATCACAATTTACGTTTGCGTCCCATCGTTAATCTTGGCTACTTGGAACGCATACCGAATTATGAAAGAACACGAAAAACACGAGGCTCATCACCACGTATCTCCAGAAGAACGTCCATTGTATCCATATATGCGTCTTAGGAACAAGGTTTCCGTATTACACTTTTACAATTAAGGATATGATTATTGAGACATTTTCTTCAAACGTGCTAATTATATGTATATATTAATAAAATAGCCTTTCCCGTGGGGCGATGGAGATCATACGCTCTTTCATAATCCAAAGGTTAATTTTTAGAAGAAATGTGATTAAACAGTTATTATTATACTACCATTTTGATCTTGTTTTTTAATTAAAAGCAAATAATTGAGGAAAGAACCACAATGAATAAATTGATGTAATTTTCAATTTTGTAATAAGAAAAATTATTTCGGTGCTGATGATGATTAACATTAAAAGAAAATAACATTTATATTGAACTTAAAGAATTGTCATGCAAGATCAAACAAGTGAAGCTTTAGAATTCAAATTTCGAGCTGCCTTCTCCCCCTCCTCCTGCACCTTTAGCGACTTCCATTTCCCTCGGATCAAAAGATTGCCGTGCCTTCTTTATATCCTCACTCATATATAAGAGTTCTTCGACACGTGCAAGTTTCTTTGGATCATTGCGAAGAATGAACTTGAAATCTTCAACTCGTACTTTGTTTCGTGAACCGGCTACTTGTGATGCTTTTATACACTATCAATAAATATATGTATAATAATAATAATAATAAACAATTCACAGCTAAATTAAATAAAATGAAATATAATTACCATGTCGGTTATGTAATCAATAACCATTTCCTCAAGAACATTTACAGTATCTGGTGCAGGATTAGGAACATCTCCAAAACCATACATTAGTTGACTCACTAGGAAAAAGAGGCAGCATTAACATTATATTATTATTTTATCGGTCATGCGTGTGTATGTGTATATGTAATCAGAAACTAACAGTCTTTAGCAAAAAGTCCTTTCTTTTCTTTTGGTGGCCTACCACGTCTTGATTCCATTTCAAATAGTACGAAGAATTAGAGAAAAGAAAATCGGTCGATCAACTTCTATTTGCGGATATAACTGCAATAATCTTATTTTGTATTTCCGTTTACTACATTAAGAATTTGACAAACAAAAGAGATTCTATGAGTTAGTGTTAACCAAACGATGCAGAAGCCGAAGTTATACTTGAATGCTCGTAATGTTACTTTTGATAACTGTCTACGCCAGTTTGTTCGCATTGTATCAGAGCAAGTTTTTTTTTGGTGATCCAGGCGAAATCGAATTACACCCCCTTGCACAACAAAAGTTTGGTAATTCGGTTGAATTGAAAAAACGAAGCTCATTTGAAATAAATCCATTGAAACAAGTTCATAGCTATTGGAAGAATTGCCATGCTTCATCCCAGCATGATGAAGTTTCACAAGTGTCGATTTTGAAAAATTGAAAGCTTTAAAAATTTCCGCTGCGAACAAGTAACGACGTCAATCTTCGAACATGTTCTATATATACATTGGTTAGTGTAGCTATTAGATTGTCTACTTTGAAATCACTCACAAAGACTTTCGCTAATTGTTAAGGGATTCTAATAACAATCAAGCAATTATATGAGTCTACGATCCTAGCATTTTGATCTTAGAATTCATCGAAAGAGATCGTGAGAGCGTTGGTATCATTAATATCAGAAGAACTAGTCACATTCAGAACGCGCGTTTAGAACATTAAATCTTTCTTTTTATTCAGACTCTAATGAAAATAGTCCGAACCCAAGATTTTCAAATATGTCTACAACGCATCTAAAAGCTATACTTGCAAAAATTATCAGGAATGTCGAAAAATTTTTTCAAGGAGTGCCACAAATTTATTTTCATTGATCTATAAGTTGCGGTGGATTTGAAAACGAACAATATATGTGGAAGGTTAGCAACAACTGACTGATTTTGAACTTATTTACCTAATGTAGATTATTTTATTTTTTTCTCGAAGAAAAGACCTCATTTTAATACATCACGATTAGGAACAAAAGATCAATTACATCGCGTGGGTACAACTTTCTTGATCCTCGATGATATTCTCTTGCACCAATATATTTGTTTTGGATATTTAGATGTTCGGTATGTATGTATATATATATAGTATTTATAAAAGCAGTCGATCGGACTTCGGTCCCACAATAAAATTCCTTATCCGTGGTACAAGTTTTTGATAACCAATCAAAAAATTCAAAATGACGATAAGAGAGAAATCCCCCAAAAAATAAACAACATATCCATCAATATTTTTTCTCTTATACAACCAACGAAAACGTCACTTTTAGAATCAACTCGCCGAATCTAATTACAAAAAGTATGGAAATAATCAACAACCGTCAAGTCATAGTGAATTTATTTGGCGGTCTTTCTCCGCTTTGTATTCCATTTAATTCGAGCACATTAGTCACCGTCCAAGATTTAAAAAGCGTTATCGCGTCGCGTATTTTCATTCCACCTGCTGAACAACGTCTCGTAACTAACAGTGGAAGAACGCTTTACGATGAGACACCGCTCTTTCAAAGCGATGACGAGTTTCTTATTGTTAACTTGAGGCTTGGGCTCTTAGGCGGTAAAGGAGGGTTTGGAAGTATGTTGAGGGCGCAAGGAGGAAAAATGGCGAGTCAAAAAACTACGAATTTCGAGGCTTGTCGCGATTTGAATGGTCGGCGTCTTCGAACAATTAATGAAGCTAAAAAGTAAGCCATTCGGTAACCATTTTTTAAGAAAAAATAAATAAAGACTAAATTCGTTAATTCCGATATAGATTGGCTGATTATCTCGAAGGAGAACCAGAACGACAACGCGCAAAGGAGGATAAATTGAAAAAGAAAATCGAGGAAGGCCTCCGTGAACCACCCAACAAAAAACACCGTTTCAACGATCCTAGCTTCCTCGATGAAAAACAAAACATACTCGAGGATGTAAAGGCATCTGTGAGTTTAGGTATGCAATAATTCATATATTTCAGATAGATTACTTTTATTTATTGCTAAATTATCTTACTACAACATTGATTTTTTTATTTTAGCTATGCAAACGAAGAAACAAGAAATCTCTAAATCCGTTACAAAGAAGACCAATGGAGCATCTCTCTCAATGTGGGAAGTGGAAAGTTCAGATGACGGAAATAATACTCACGATGAAGATGTCGAAATGACTGATTCCGCACCTGAAGATGACAATGATGTTGAGATGACCGACTCTGCATCGGATGATGACGACGAAATGACCGACTCTGCGTCCGATGATAGCAAGCCAGAGAAAAGTTCAAACGTCTCGATTACCAAGAGTAATCCCAAAATTGATGCAGGATCAAGTAATGTCACCATAGATACTATCAATGTTAGTGTAGGATCCAATGTCCCCAAGTCTATCAAAAGTGCTCTATCAACACCATCATCAACAATACGAACACGAGCTCGCGACTACTCGAAGATCACCACGCATGTTGAACCCACAAAGTCCACCAAAGGAAAGGGTGTCGCTACGAACAAGAGAAAAGCTCGAGATGACTATGATGATTAAATGACTCTTGGGTCTTGCATCATTCATACTATTATACATCTTAGATACACATATATTAATATGATGATTATTCTTACATAGCATTTATCATGAAAATTAGACAGTCGTAGAGCGATTTCTAAAAACTCTTAAATCAAAAAAAAAACAATTTTTCATTATAAATAATTGGCTTTGATGAACACTTGCTTATACACATATAATTTCATTTTATTGATTCATTTTCTACTCTACTTCAATCTTTTTCGATAAACTTACATGAGCAAATAGGACGTTATATCTTTCTTTTAATTTTCTAATAATTATACCACTAATACTATTAATTTTCGATATTAGTTGAAGGGGTAAATTGGTTGTCATATTTTTTGATTTCTGATAACATCTTCATTATCTTTTAGTTTTTGTAAATAATAAATTTATACGTAAAATCAAATAAAAAACCTATTCGTAAGATTTTCATGTATATGGTATCTCTCCCTATGAATAACCAATTTCACTCGGTCACTTTCTTCTAATTAATTCTCTTCGTTTAATGCTTTTCTCTAGTCTCGTCGTGATATAATCATTCGTCACCCTGAACCCACATATTTTTACTTACCAATAAGCATGTATACATAGGTCAAACCTTTTTTCGTCTTTAATAATAATAATTATAGTGTGTGTATCCATCATCGATTAAAAAATTGAAAAATTAGATTATAAACTATAAAAAACGAGTATTTAGAATTATACTACAATCAGTGTATAATTTTATATATGTATAGACTACAATTAACGAGATTAGAGTGGTGATGAAAGCAAAATCAATAACCCCACAAAAAAAATAACTCACGAATAGTCAATATATATATATATATATATACATATAAAAAGGTAATTATATTATGTAAATAATGAAACGAAAAATTATTTAATATATTAAATCAAAATTTCAAAAAAAAAATTGGAACTTCTCAACAACAAAAGAAAAAAAAGATTTCGAATTAAATTTCTTCCTTATTTCTTGATCTGCTCAGCAGCCCAAGATGACAACGGTTCTTCACCAGCACCATTACCATTCACGTCTTGATTCTCATCACCCTTCGAATCCAAATCCACATCATCATTAATATCAATATCTTCAACATCCTCTAACAACTTTAAATAATTCTCCGGCACAAGACCTGATGCTTTCTTAGGATTATCATCAGCTGAAAGTTCAGCAAAAAACCAATCTTTACTCTGTTGATATTTGATCACTAAAATATCCCCTTCGGCAAAGCTTAATTCACTTTCATCATCTGTTTGAAAGTCATATAAAGCACGTGCTCGACGATTAGTAAATCCATCATTATATTCATCTAAATCTTCGTCATATTCATATTGATCTGCTTGCTCTGATTCGTTATTGTCTTCGTCGTCGTATAGTGTTTCTTGTCCCCAATGTCGTGGATCTTCGTGTGGGAAAGCGAAATCTCGAATTTTCACTTCTGTTTCAGAGCCTTTGTTGTTGTTGTTGTTATTATTATTATTATTATTTCCATTGGGTATTGAAGATGCTATATAGTCATATGAAATATTAAATTAATAATGATTAACATTAATAGAAAATAAATCAAACTATGCGTGAATAATAATCGATCCATAATAGTTTCTAATGATTTACCTCTTTTGGACTAATTCAACAACAAAAGCATGAAATAAAATTCTTAGTTATCATAAAAAAATAGAAAGTAAAAAAAAATCACAGCCTATTTACTTACTGAACGGATTCTTTTCTTTTCGGGCTCTTCCCAGGAATAATCATCATCTTCATTATCATCTCTGTAAAAATCACCAAGTGTTTTCGCAAGAGAATTGTTCAATTCTGTATCATCAAAATCATTGTTATTGAAGTTTTTATTAATATCATCATTAGCCTTGATACTTTCATTACTATTACTACTGTTATTGCTGTCGTTGCGTTTAGTTTGATCCCCTGTCTCTATATTTGATGAGCTACGACGATCTTTCTTTTTCGGTGGTGTTGTTGTCGATGAACTATTTTTACGAGAAGAAAGCGTTCTTGAAAGATGTTTAGTTTTTGTTTCTTCCCGTATTTCTGTATTGTTGTTACCAATTACTGGTGGATTCGGTGTGGTGGTCATGTTTATATTGTCGTCGTTATCATTACTATTATTATTGTTATTGTTATTATCATCATTACTACTACTACTATTATTATTATTGTTGTTATTATTATTATTATTATTATTGTTGTTGTTGTTGTTGTTGTTGTTATTGTTGCTGCTGTTGTTGTTGTTGTTATTTGTAGTAGTAGTAGTTGCAGTGGTAGTAATATTAGTAAGATCTATGAAAGGTTTAGCTAAATTAGTAAAATAAAAGTTAAGTAGTTAATAATTTCAGCGACGAAATGAAAATAAAAAATATATTTTTTTAAGACATTAATTTAAGAACCTTTTCCATTTTCAAATGGTACTGGAGAAAGTGCAGCTGTTGATGTTTTTTGGGCCATTTCCAGTTATAGCAATATTAATTAATTAAATATCAAAGCTTTGTAAAATGGTTTTATTATTTAAAAATTTTCTGCGTCTTCGCTATCCACACACGCACGCCACTCTAAATCTATTTATTATTGAACGCGGGAAAATAACGATAACGGATAAAAAAGTCGTTCCTCCTTAAAAATGTTTTTATAAAAGCAAAAAATCTTTATATAATAAAAATTTACATAAACTCTCTTTCTTTCGTTCGTTCATTTATTCACTTCATTCAGGCTTTTTAAACACGCATTACATACACATTACATAAATACAAAACTCACAATAAAACAAGCAAAATGAAAAAGGTAAAAGTGAGAGAGTGAGTTTTCCGTCGTGGATGTGCAAATGGATTATTAGTTAAATGAAAATGATAACGATAATGGTAATGGTAATGAAAAAATGATTGTTGTATCGTAGAGCACAGCATAAAGTAACCCCTGTAGAAATTATTAAAACCAATTAGGTAGCAAAGTTTTACAGGGGAAGGTTCTCTTGACATTAGCATTATATTAATAAATCATCCAATTTCAGAATTGTAATATTCCAAAAGCTTGCTTTAGACCAGGGGTCTCTTACCTGATTTCTTCACTCTAATTTGTGATAATGACGATACTTTTACTTCTACTTACTATTATTTCTACTATTCATACAGAATTTGTACAGGGATAGCAATGGATTAAGTATCGCATAGAGAAATAAATAATCTTTAAGACCTGGTCTGTTACCCAGGATTTAACATTCACAATGAAAAAATTTTGAGTAGTTCATCTGGATGCTTTACGCTTCTATTTTTCTTTTAGCCAGTTTTCTCGTAAATGTTGAAGAATTGTCGATAATACCTTTTTGATGAAAGTAATCAATTTTCGCCAAGAAAATGAACTCGTGTTTATCTTGTTTCGATAATTAAACAAAAAAGGGTTACTATACATTTACAATTCTAAAGAATGAATAATACGCAAAGTAGAATCTGTGCTCGGTTCCTGATCACATGATAACAAACCAATAAGAATGCGCAAATCATATGTGTGCCGGCACTATTAAAGGTCGATCGTTAAGGTGGAGGACAAGGTTATATGTAAAATTGTTTCCCGACATTTTTATTAGAGCTCCAAGTTAGATTTAGACATCGTATTTTTCACATTTTTCATTTTTTTGTGTCGGATTTGTTTTGCCGGGCTGATCAAAAATTTGCGCATTCTTATTGGTTTGTCATGTGCATGTGATCAGGAACCGAGCGGATGCTGGAATAGTCGCATGTACTAGATATATATTTTAAAATACAATGTAAATATAAAATGAATGTGATATGTAATCCAATAAAAAATAAAAATACCCACTACAAAAACCTCTGATGCACTACTAGAACAAGCCCAAATATAGAAAATTACGCGAGTCATTAATTATACTTAAAAATTAAGGAGTGATGAAATCTTCTATTTTAAACAAACAGCTAATTAAAGAAATAAATGAATCAAATGTCCTATACAGCAGTAGCTTCAAATTCGGAAAGAAACCAAAAAAGGAATTAATAATTAATAATTAATCTACTCGATAAACAAATAAAAAATGCATACATAATATTGAATACAAAAAAGAAGGATAATTAATGTTTATTACTTTCAATCATATTCACCAGCCTAAATAATTAAGAAAGGATATTTAATAATAAATAAATAGACAAAATCAGCATATAATATATGTAGAACACTGCATTCAGCATTCTCTCCCACGCGTACTAATCAAAGAACAAACCCCCAAGACGTTTGAATTGTACCCCAATGATATTTATAATAATATTAGTATCCTAGGATACAGACCACAAGGGATTGTTGTTGAAAAGTGCCCGGGTACTTAATGCAGTGAGTGCACTACTCTAATATAATACATATTAACTAATCAGAATAACAATTCACTAACCAATCTAATCCTTCTGTTAATCCATCTCCTTTCACCGCACTAGTTTTATAAATAGTCCACTGCCGATTTTTCAGCGTGTCTAATCGCAAAGAATCGGAAACTTCTGTTACAGACATTGCACCATCCATATCCTGTTTATTAGCAAACACAAGTAACGCTGATTCACGTAGTTCTTCTTCCTCGAGCATTGCATGTAGTTCTTCCCGTGCTGTGTTAATACGATCACGATCCACTGAATCAACTACATATATAACTGCATCTGTATTTGCGTAGTAGCAACGCCAGTATGGTCTGTTTCGGGAAAATAATTTTATTATATAAATAACAATATATAATAATTTTTTATATGACTAATTACCTTATACTTGTTTGACCTTCTCCCCCATTAGAAAATTTATTGTATTAGTTTTTTATAAAGATTAAACTATTTTTTTTCTTAACAAAAAAGCGCTTTCTCCCTGCGTATAAAAAAATAACTCACCTCCTAAATCCCATACTAAACAAATTCAATCCGTAAATTAATAGCTTATAATTAAACCGTATTTTATTAAAAAAAAACCTAAAAAGCACGTAATACCTTGGAATTTAATATTTTTATAAGTTACAGTTTCAACATTAAATCCAATCGCTAATATGATTAATCAAAATTCACCGAATTTTTTACTATCAGTATAACAAATCATAAAATAACAAAATCCAAATTAATAATTTAAAAAGACCAAATTTCAATTAGCCACCTACTTGGAATAGTTGTGACTACTTCACCAATCTAATAAAATAAATATATTCAAAAATTCAGATCAAGAAAGGTTAATTTTCCTGCATTCCATTTTTCTAATTGATTATAAATTGATCTCAAATAATCATATAGATTGAATTATATAGATCACTTACTTGAAATCGATATAATATGGTTGTTTTACCAGCGCCATCTAAGCCTAAAATTAATATTCGAACTTCTTTCTCGCCCCATAACCGCCCTAAAGCTCTACTAAACATACCACCTTTTATCAAGACACGAAAATCAAATACCCCCGAATTGTTAAACCGTATGAAATTCTCCTTGTATGAACATCTTTGAATAATATCACGTACCCATTTTTTCGAATTTAGGAAATAAAACCTTTTCTGGTAATAATAAAAGAACAAGATATACTAGGGTAAACTATTGAAATAGCAATATGTTTAGAAATATCGTCCTTCAGGTGAGTTTAAATATCGTAGCTTCTCTTAATTATAATGATTTGCATACTTGATATATATAATTTTCTGACATATTATCACGTGACAAAAAGTTGCACGGTAAAGTCTAGCTGACTTGGATGCGCCGGACTCCCATGGCGAAAAAAAAGTGTTGGTCATGTGATTCCGATGCCATCCGATATCCCCTTAAATCATGAAAACAAACGCTCACTTTTAAAAAATAGCTTGTATCTTGAAATTTTATTTATGAAACAGTCATTTGTGTTCTAACAAAAAATGTTCCTTGCAAAATTTTAATATATATTATGTTCTTGTCTGCTATATGCTATGCAATAACCCTAACCGAAACTCTATTTAATATTATGCATTGTAATTAAAGGGGATTTCGGATGATTGGTATCGGTATCGGAATCACATGACCCGACACTTTTTTTCGCCATGGTTTCTTAACAATGATAGCGAAGTGATTGAAGATAATACAATGGCGAATAGTGAAGAATTTACTATCGAGAATGAGTTGGTCTGGAAGGTTAAACCAGTAACCAAGATTTGAGTGATGAATATTGAAGGTCAACCAAGTATCATTGTCGAAGCATTATCTACTATGGAAAAGAAATGCGTGATTTCATTGATGATAATCATTTCTTTGAAGGGTCGTATCGAACGAATTCTGATGGAGCATCCTACCAACCCCAACTCAAGCCAACAGCTTGGTTTGATGCGATATACTATACTATCAAGAAACCAATGAAAATCAGACAGATATTGAGCGTTGAACGGCTCTGAGTGGGTCAGAGACTGGTCGTCGAAAGAACAAGCTCGTTACGAGACCTCTACTACACCATACCCCAAAGAACGAGCTCATTAAGAGACCTCCGGTAGGGGCCAGATACTCGACCGTCGAACAAGAGTAGCTTAATAAACCTTCCGAAAGGTGCTCTTTACGAGTACTTAGTAGGTGCCAACTTCAAAAAAATCCTTGTGTTTTTTTTTTTTACTTAGTAACTCTGAAAATTTATTTATTTATATTATTAACATTATTCTAAATTGTATATTAATTACAAACAATTAATCTTGTGTTGTAGGATGTACACTAATACAAACAATGCCAATGCCGCTGCCTCGTCAGGACCATCCTATGAGACACTCACCAGCGAGAATTCTTTGATTCCTCCTTTATAATATTGTTCTTTGTTAATGGCGATTATATCAAACCCGCTCGAAAATGCGAAAAAAACCAACAATTTATCTATTACAGATTTTTCGCTCCGACCGGCTGGGTGGTCCAATGATGAAACGTACTATTTAATTATCACACGTAATCGTGATAACGAAAACCTCTCACGCCAAATCGATCACAATCCCTTTTTTTTTCTTTTTCCTTCCAACAGCGTTTTCGTTAACATGTCTACTACACATAGTTCTATCTTCGGAAAAATATTAGAAACAAGGGACTTGTTGGGTGGAACCATCCGATTTATTTCTTTCTTACGATCCGTAGAAAGTAACCACGATGAAAATATATAATTAAATCCGTAACCAACGCGTATCGGAATCTTTATAACTCTGACGAAAAAACTCTAAAGTTAAGTGGTTATTTTTTTTAAACGATATATTTAATTCGAATTATGAGAATAGTATATACCAATGCTATCAATGTCTCGTCTTCTTTTTCTGTCCATGTTTTTTCGTTATTGCTAGTTGATCCCGACGCACATGCAGAAATATTGTCAACGGTGACAGTTACTAAATTATCAGACTCGTTTATACAATCCGGCAGCTGGTTATCATCATCATTAATATAATCCAGGAACCGAATTATTATTTCTTTTCTGGAGGGAGGTAATGATATTTCGTGATCTTCTTTTTTTTTGGTGAGCTACCGGACTTATAATCTACGCGTTCTATAGGACGAAAATAATTCTCACCATCATCCGACCTAGTTTTGCGTTTTATTTTGGGTATTATAACAGATCTATTCATTTGTGATGTACTGTTTTCACGTAGCGATACTGTCTCCATAATATCACTATTGTCGGTAAAAGCATCGCCAATGACCGAGTTGTTATTACGGTCGTCATTATTATCATCACCGTAAAGTTGTAAACCTGTAGGAAATTCATCTTCAATATTATTAGTACTGGTCGAGACATTGGCATGGGCATTGGAATTTGCATGGGCATGGACATTTGCATGAAATTCAGCGATTGCGTCGCTTAAACCTTTGTTGTTTTTCATCACAAATTCATAATGCTCAATATAGTCCAATGCTTCTTTTAGTACATCCTATAACATAATATTAAAGTAATTTAGAGTAATAATTTAGAGTAATAATACTCGTAAATAAATAAATTTTCGGATTTACTAAGTAAAAAAAAATAAGGGGAGTTTTTTAATTTGGCACCTACTAAGTACTCTTAAAGAGCACCTTTCGGAAAGTTTACTAAGTTACTCTTTCGACCTGGCCCTTATCGGAGGTCTTTTAATGAGACAACCAGTTTCTGACCCCTACTAAGAGCCGTTCAACACCAAATTCAAAAACAGATGTTTTGCAATACGAGGGAATATAGAATAAAGTGTAAAAAAGGATGCTATTTTCTGATACAAAGGTTACAGGAAAGGGAGAGGTGCTTTAAACTATATCTCATCATTTGAATTAAATATATCGTTTAAAAAAAATAACCACTTAACTTTAAATTTGAGAGTTTTTTCGTCAGAGCTAAAAGATTCCGATACGCGTTGGTTACGGATTTAATTAAAATATTTTTATCGTGGTTACTTTCTATGGACCGTAAGAAAGAAATAAATCGGATGGTTCTAATATTTTTCCGAAGATAGAACTAAGCGTAGTAGACATGTTAACGAAAACGCTGTTGGAAGGAAAAAGAAAAAAAAGGGATTGTGATTGATTTTGCGTGAGAGGTTTTCGTTATAACGATTACGCGTGTGATTATGATTATTAATAAAATTTGCGCACATCTGGAATGTGTGCCAGGTTGATGCCGCAGCTGTCAACTATCTGACTGACTGTACCCCCAGTGACATTGTATATATATATATATACATATCGATATATATATATATACGTATACATATATATACATATACATATATATATACATATATATATACATATATACACGTACATACATAAATAATACTACCGCTTTTTTTTAGGTTCTTGGTTAGCGTTAGTTAAATTTTATTTCCTTTGCCTTTACATATGGAAGATAGCAATGCACAAGGCATGGACATTGCTATCCCACAGGTTTGTTGAATCAACTTTTATATAAATTCGGTTTCATAACAATAATAAAATTAATAAAATATTAAGTTTTAGGTCTTTGCTTGGAATTCCTTACCCGAACTATTGAAACCGGTTCTTCCTCAGCATTATACATATATAATCAAACATTTTAATGAGTTATCACCATACCGAACACAAGAGAATTTTGAGGTTCCGAATTTTGAGTTGGACGCGTCTATCCTCAGCTTTAATATTAATAATTAAATCAATCAAGCAATTTTGTTTCACGTTCATCCTTTCAAGTTCTCTTCCGAGTTCCCACAATTCTTGTTTCTTGTCATAGCAAGGTGAGTTATTAAATGTAGTTTAGCTAATTATAATTATTAAATGTTTAATAATGTTTAATGATGTTTAACAATGTTTAATGATATTTAATTATACAATACAACTAATTATAATTATAATTATTAAATGTTTAATAATATTTAAAGAAAACGCAAAAAATATTTAAAGAAAATGCAAAACAATTTATAATGTTTAATTATGTTTGTCTTGAATTCTCAAATAATTATATTGATTCAAAAAATTAAAAAGCAAACTACAAAATAATCATTTTTTAAATGATCCAAAATACCCTAAAAATTTGAATTAAAGCTTTCAGTATAATCTTTTAATATCGCAATAGAAAAAAATAAATAATACCTTCAATTCAGTTGATTTTTCAATACATTTTTGGTTAAATTATGATCTCGTTTCCCCATTTTCTTCTTTTTTCGGCAAGGAATAATCTGAGGATCCAAATTTTCCTTTTCCTTACTTGCAAAAACAGGTAATTTTCGCTTGGCACTACCAGACCCTTCTATTTTACGTCTTTTAATGGATTCAACCTGAACCCGTATGTGTGCACCACTTTTAACACAAATCATTGGATCTAAATTACAATTAAGATCGTAAAGAAAGGAAGATAATTGAGGGATGGATTTCGATTTTGCTGTGTTATAGCGTTTCATAAACTTGTCAAATGCAGTATGTAACTTTTGATCAGCATTCTGATAGTCTGTTTAACTTCCTCTAAAAACATATTGAATGTATTAATGCTGATTTCTTCATTTTCTTGATTTAGCTCTCTACAAAAAGTTATACAATTATTTAAAGTTATCCGAATCAAATTTGCAAATCAAAGAGAATACAAACCTCTGTTCAG